GTCACGTAACAGTCTTCTGTGGTGCTTAATGCAGGTCACCTAACAGCCATCTATGATGAATAATGCAGGTCACCTGACCACCTTCTGTGATGCCCTGCTAACTCATGATTTATGGACACTAAGAGATCCTACAACAAAGACAAATATTCTGATGCCATAAAGCTTTGTTGAATGTGAGATCCAGTAGGTTGTGAGGTCAGATAAGGAAAAGCAGCTGTATCCAACATGGTGTTAAGGTGCATTGGACGAATGTGTTTACCACCTGCGTCCTGTGTACATGGTACTAAGAACTGTATCTTACAGAGCAGAAGCCAAAAGAGCCACTGGCTTTATAGTCCTTTTCTATCAGAGGTTTGAGGGTCAGCAAATTCACTACATGATTAAAAGTTTTGGGACACACCTCTTAATCACTGAATTCAGGTGATTCATTCAGACCCATTGCCACAGGTGTATAAACTTAAGCACTTAGTCATGCAGTCATTTTTACAAACACTTGGGTTGTTTTGAAGAGCTCAGAGAATTTAATCATTGTACTGTCACAGGATGCCACCATTGCAATAATTCAGTTCATAAAATTTCCCTGCTAGATATTCCATGGTCAGCTGTAAGTAGTCTTATTGCAAAGTGGAAGTGTTTAGGAACAACAGAAACTCAGCCACGAAGCGGCAGAGCAGGTAAAGTGACGGGGCAGGGTCGCCAAGTGCTGGGGCCCATAGTGCGTAAATGTTGCCAGCACTCTGTTGACTCAATAACTGCAGATTTTCAAACCTCCTCTGGCATTAACCCCGGCACAAAAACTGCGTGTTGGGAATGGGCTTCCATGGCCGAGCAGCTGGATGCAAGCCTGACATCACCGAGCGCAGTGCCAGTTGTTGGATAGATTGGTGTAAAGTACTGTGCCACTGAATTTTGGAGCAGCAGAAATGTGTTCTGTGGAGTGACGAATCATGCTTCTCTGTCTGGCAGTCTGATGGATGAGTCGGGGTTTGGCAGATACCAAGAGAACGTTACCTGCTTGTCTGTATTGTGGAGGAGGGATAATGGTATGGGGTTGTTTTTCAGGGTTTGGGCTCGGTCTCTTAGTTCCAAAGAAGGGAACACTTAGTGCTTCAGCATACCAAGAGATTTTGGACTATTCTGTGCTTTCAACTTTGTGGGAACACTTCAAGGAAAACCTTTCCTGTTCTAGCATGACTGCCCCAGTGCACAAAGCAAGGTCCATAAAGACATGGTTGGGTGACTTTGGTGTGTAAGAACTTGACTGGCCCTCACAGAGCCCTAACCTCAACTCCATCGAACACCTTTAGCATGAACTAGAATAGAGATTGTGAGGCAGGCCTTCACGTCCAACATCAGTGCCTGACCTCACATACGCTCTTTTGGATGAATGGGCAAAAGTTCCCATAGAGACACTCCAAATTAGAGTGGGATGTCATAAAAGTTCCTGTAGTTGTAATGGCCAAATGTTCCAATACTTTTGTCCATATAGTGTAGGTCAACAAAGGAACAGCCCATAAGCTTTGCATCAAACATAGTTTCACTGTTATTTAAGAATATTCATATTTTGCTTTGCACAAAGCGTACACACGGTGAAAGAAAACAGAATAAAATACAGAGAAGAGTCCTAGCTGTCCTTAAAGGGGACAGAGAAGAGTCCCTGCTGTCCTTAAAGGGGACAGAGAAGAGTCCCTGCTGTCCTTAAAGGGGACAGAGAAGTGTCCCGGATGTCCTTAAACAGGATGGAGAAGAGTCCCTGCTGTCCTTAAAGAGGATGGAGAAGAGTCCCTGCTGTCCTTAAAGGGGACGGAGAAGAGTCCCTGATGTCCTTAAAGAGGATGGAGAAGAGTCCCTGCTGTCCTTAAAGGGGACAGAGAAGAGTCCCTGCTGTCCTTAAAGGGGACGAAGAAGAGTCCCGGCTGTCCTTAAAGAGGATGGAGAAGAGTCCCTGCTGTCCTTAAAGAGGATGGAGAAGAGTCCCTGCTGTCCTTAAAGGGGACGGAGAAGAGTCCCGGCTGTCCTTAAAGGGGACGGAGAAGAGTCCCGGCTGTCCTTTGTGGGGGGGCCAGAATGGCAGATTCGGTGAATTGTCAGCACAGTCTGAGAATGACAAGACAGGGGCCAAGACATAAATGCAAGAAAAGGAAGATCAGCAAACCATCGTCTGTGACTTTTTACAAAAGCATTTTACATCTTTTCGTTAAGGCAGAAATGAAGGTTATCAGGGACCATGACGGATATTAAAACTCCTGGAAAGAATTGCTTTTCTTTCCCTCAGGTGCTGTGAAGATACAGCTGTACTTTTGACATATGAAAGTACGTTTATCATTCGTACCGCAGGAACTCATGAGTGAACAATGCCCAGGAATGTGACACATATTTTAATTTCACAC